GGGCGCCTGGGTGGCTCAGTCAGTTAGGCGTCTGACTTTGGCTCGGGTCATGACCTCAACGCTCCCGAGTTTGAGCCCCACGTTGGGCTCTGTGCTGACAGCTCAGAGCCTTGGGGCCTGCTTTGGATTCTGTGTCTCCCTCTCTCTCTGCCCCTCCCCTGCTTGTGCTCTGTCTCTGTCTCTCAAAATTAAATAAACTTTTTAAAAAAGTTAAAAAAAAAAAGAATTGGACGCTTAACTGACTGAGCCACCCCGGCACCCCTAAAACTTCATTTAAAATTATCAATCCATTAGCACCATAAACAAACCAAAGACATTGTTTTAGAGACTTGGGGGAAAGGACCTCAGTTTAGAGTCAGTGTGAGGAACTGATTCTAAGATTTCAGCATTGCCTGAACGGAGGGAAGGAGGCGAACACTGAGAAGAACACAAAGTGGGCGATATTACGGAAGCTCATTGTGAGAAACAGCTTCTGAAGGACAAAGTCTCTCAATGACCAGTCCAAGAGGCTAGAAGCAGCCGTGTTTATCTTGATCAACTCAAATCAACACGAGAGCCAGTCCAACAAGGAAATGAAATAGAGGAAAAAGGCAGAGACCGTAGTTTTAAGCATTACCTGGTTTTCAAAATGTGGAGGCTCCCTGAATCCTTTCACTGGAGAAAATTAAGTGCTCTTGCCCCTCGAGGATCTTAGAGATAAGAGTGGGACCATCCTAGGCTTATGGATTTAGGGCTTGGAGCCTGCATGACTGTGATGGAAACCTGGGGGCTCCATGGGTTATCTCGGGGATTAAGGCTTGCTTCTTTCTCCAGACTCAGGCAAATGCATCTGATTGTACCCGTAGCCTCAAAAACAGGGAAGCTCTTGGGGCGCCAAGGTGGCTCAGTCGGTTGAGCGTTTGACTTCGGCTCAGGTCATGATCTCGCAGTCAGTGAGTTTGAGCCCCGCATTGGGCTCTGTGCTGACAGCTCAGAGCCTGGAACCTGTGTCTCCCTCTCTCTCTTCCCCTCCCTCCACTCATGCTCTGTCTCTCTCTCTGTCAAAAATAAATAAACATTAAAAAAATTTTTTTTAAAAACCCAACAAGATAGCTCTTTATAACAGCTCCGTAGCTCCCCGGGGGGGAAGTGAGTAAAAGTAAATGCTCCTTATGTTTCACGTTCCCACTCGTGTCACCTTGTAAGAATGCTCTGTGCGCTGGTAAATTTAAGTTCTTATGGCCAAGGCTATTTTGCAACAAGGTATCTAAAATGCTTTACCAGTAGGGGTGCCGGGGTGGCTCAGTCGGTTGAGGGTCTGACTCTTGATTACGTCTCAGGCCATGACCTCCTGGTTTTGTGAGTTGGAGCCCCATGTAGGGCTCTGCGCTGACAGTGTGGAGCCTGCTTGGGGTTCTCTCTCTCTCCCTCTCTGCCCCTCCCCTGCTCACATTCTCTTTGTCTTTCTCTCTTTCTCTCATATAATCATTTGGGGCACCTGGGTGGCTCAGCCGGTTGGGCGTCCGACTTCGGCTCAGGTCCTGATCTCACCATCTGTGGGTTCGAGCCCTGTGTCGGGCTCTGTGCTGACTGCCCGGAGCCTGGAGCCTGCTTGGGATTCTGTGTCTCCCTCGCTCTCTGCCCCTCCCCCGCTCACGCTCTGTCTCTCTCTCTCTCTCAAAATAAACATTCAAAAAATTTTTAAAAAGTAACCATTAACATTTTTTTAAAATAAAAATTGAAAGATAAAATGCTTTAATATCCTAATTCTTATATCCCTGTCTCAGGCTTAGCATTACGTCTGCAAGAGATTCAGACCAAAGTGGGCGTTCCACTGAGGACAGGAGACAAAGGCATAATTTGGTAGAGAAGGATGGGGAAAGACCAACACTGTCCTTTTAACCAATGCATTTGGAATGAGATATTCAAGGAAAAACTGTACCAAAATGATGGCTAGTTGACAAGGGAAGATCATTTCACTGCATCCTCTCCGTGAGCAGGCACTATTGTTTCAGCCCATGATGTTTTTGTTTACTCTGGAAGGAAATATTTTACCCCCTCTGAGATAATTAATTTTTGTCAGTTTCGCTGTTTATAAGGGAAACTGAGAAACTGTTAATTGAAATACAGAATGAGTCACTGTTTTCAGTAATTTTTGGCAGTGTTCTAATTTGTGTCAATCCCAGCCTAATTATTAGATTTTTTGGAAGCAGAAAGCATATTTGATTTTTCTCTTCCTGAGTTGTTTTTTCTTCCTCAGAGGAAAAAAAAAAAAATCATGCGCAGCCTGATAAAGGTTATACAATGTATACCAGTGTATTGGAAGGCGAGGTGAAATACCAGGACGTTTGAAACACCAGGAGGTTTATTGTATCACGCTTGTCTCCTCACGGTAGTTCCATGTTTAGAAAGCTCTCAAACGACCTTCTTCCTCCTATCCCTCAGCTCCGGCCAAAAAATGCGATTTCTTTTAAAGACCTTTTTAGCTGGTATTAAGCCACAGTATATGGCCCGTCACTAATGACATCACCGAGGTAAACTTCCCAGAAGTCATCAGGGAGAAGTCATTTGGAAATCCAATTGAATGTCACTTGCAAAGGGCAGGCTTCTAGAAGAGGTGACCAGTCATGCATTCCTGAGTTATTTGTTGCAAGAGCATTAATCACTACGAACTCATTTGCTCCTAATGCGAACGCACTACATTATTCCCCGGGAATTCTGTTCCAAATGGTCGTTAATGTAGAGAATGGAAGCTGCTGACGACAGACAGGGTTAATAAAATCTGTCAGATCAATGGCCAGTATAATGGGACTGTTAATGATTCCTAATAGAAGCCGGATCTTCCTGGCTGCGGCAGAGGGAGGGCGGGTGGAGAGGCAGGTGGCCGTGCTGAGCAGACAAGCCCCGTCTCTTGCCTCCCGAGGTGGCCTCTGGGTGAAAAGATCATTGACGGCAGTCACGGGGCGTTGCCAGGGCTCGGAGGTGGCCACGGCTGGGAGCGTAGGCAACCACCGTGGGCTGGGGAGGGAGCCACAGGGTGGCCACAGGGACCGCTGTGCTACCCTCTTCCAGCTGCTCACACGCCTGCATCTGAACACCTGGCGCTGTGGGCAGCCCAGAACCTCCCTTCAGCCACACTGGGCCACCAAAGGGATGAAGGACAGCGGTCACAGTGATAATGGTGCCAATCCCAGCTAACACTCACTGGAAGTGCTCAGGGGCGGAGGACGAAGCCCTTTACACGCTCTACCCCTAATCCTCAGGGTGGTATTCCCTGTGACATGTGGACTGGCTATCCTCCATCGTATAGCCGAGGAAGCTGAAGTTCAGGCTCAAGTCACAAGCCCACGGTCAGATCTGAAAGTTGGTGCCTGTAATCACGATGCTCTTTATTAGAGGGAGAGACACAGAAACTATAGCCGAAAATCAGACCAGAGAAAGATGTGGGGTATGCCAATTGGCCTGCGTGTCTTTCCACTTGTACATGCAACCCATCAGTAAGTTCAGGACCATCCTGGGGCAAAGTCTATCAAAGCTGTAGCATGGGGATGCTGGGCAGGGGGGTTGGGGGGGCTCAGTCAGTTGAGCGTCCGACTCTTGATTTCGGCTCAGGTCATGATGGGTTGTGGGATGGAACCCTGAATGGGGCTGAGTGTGGAGCCTGCTGGAGATTCTCTCTCTCCTTCTGCCCCTCTCCCCCACTTGTGCTCTCTCTCTCCTCTCTCTCTCTCTATGATATTTAAAAAAAAAAAAAATTGTATATATAAAAGCTATAGCTTGTCTGCAACACTGTTCCTCTAAGCTTTGCTACTAACATGAGGGAACCCGGGGCCTGGAAGAGGCCTAATTACTTTGTACCAACGAACTGCAGCCTTGTCAGGGCCCCAGGAGGCCCTCTCTGCCCAGCGATGCCCTCTTATTAAGATTTGTTCCTTCTCCTTCCACCCCTACTGCATAAAAACTTGCCACATTTCTTGTCATCTGCGGGTCCGGATCTCCTGACCGTACCCTCCCTAGTTCAGGTAGAGTGAGAAGAAACTGTGGTCTTCTGGAGATGCCTCTGAGCACGACGCAGACATGACTGAGAGCAAAGGCCACCCAGAGCCGGCACCCAGGGCCCCAGCCACACAGCTGGGCATGGGAGCACGGTGATATGGGCTCTGTGACATCTCTAAGCCCCAGCGACCATTGCCTTGGGGATCAGGAATGGGGATGAGTTGGGGTTTACAAGCGGAGCCTGAGGACACGAGAGGCTACCAAGAGCCGAGGCAATCGGGGACTGGGGATGAAAGGGGAATGATAGCTGTACGTGTGAAAATATATATACATAAAATACTCACACTACTAGATGTTCCCAGTAAGCAGTATTCTCCACCACCCCACCCCCAGATCTTACGAGTACACATCGTAAGTGCCAGACTGCATGGAGCGGGATACAAATGCAGTGGAATTGGGTGAGAGAAATTAGCAAGAGGAAAATTCAGAGACAGCATCGTGGAAGATTGTCTTGGCTGTGAAGAACATGAATGATTAGAATATAGGGAGAGAAGGCATTCCACACGGAGAGTTGGGGCATGAACAGAAGTGTGAGGG